CCCATCCGTCCATTTATTAATGCCGCTTATAAAGTCTGTAACATGGCCCACATACTGCAAAATGTAATACGCTCTCTGTGACACATTAAAAAAAAACAAAGTATGGCAGTGTAGGGTTTTCCTTACACACAAATATATAGCCTCAAGTCTTGAAACCCCGAGGTCGGGTTCAAAATTATTCGAGAATTCGAAAAAGTTGCTTACGACTGAAGGATATCCTTTGTTCAAGCATGGAACATCAAGAAAATGTTATTCCTTACTAAATGCTTGCACTAAGGGATATTTTTGTTCATGTTTTCCATAAAAGATATTTTAATTTATCAGAGCATCAAAATAAATGCAAAAGTTAAGTAGTATTTTTTGCAGGGTTTCGTTTTAATGCACTCAGGAAGGAGGTTATTCAAAAACCAACATTCTGACGAGCTTGAACTATTTTGGAATTATTTTAAACGCCAATAAATATGCCAGCCCTACTTAACAAAACTTTTCTGATCGAAAACTCATTTCAGTATTTCAGTTTACGTTTAATGAAATAATACATGTACTCTAGGCATTTCTTCGTTATCCTTAACAAAAACAAAGGCTTACGTACATTTATTTACGGAAATTGTGCAATTTTAGTTACTTTCATCTATGAAGGGCTAAGTACATGGTTCATTTTACCGTTGACCCTCCAAACTTCAAGATCAAAATTAGGAGTGATTGCGTCTCGGATTGGAAAAAAAAGTTCAACACAAATTATGGACTTCGGACATGTGCACCGACGACCGAACTAGAAAAACGCTCGGCACGTGGGAATTTGCACCGCATAGCCATAGCTTGCCCTTTCACCCAACCCTCGCAATCCCAATGGCAGTCGCCCTGCCGGCCACGATGCCGCCAGTGATCCGCCTACAGCATAACATTTCAACGATATCTTTAAGTATAACCGCAGATAAATTTTTCGTTTGCTACTAAATAAATTACGGCCTCATTGCCGCAAACTTTATCTTTAACGAGGCTGCACCCCGAACCCTCGGAAAGCTTTTGTTTACTATTCGAAAAATCCCATTTTGGACACGGTATGTTGACGGTATCTAGCTCATCCGCGATCACAGGGGAATCGAGGTACTCTAAGGTACAAAACAAATTGGTCATTTTTTGTGCGCGCTTTCGAATGCGGGACTAATCGAGGAACCGGATTGTTTTCAAGGT